AGGGTGAGCAGGGCTGGTAGGAGCTTCATGGCTGCAGGACAGAGGGAGGAGCACTGAGGTAAAGTACACACTGAGTCCCAGTGACTGCTGCTCTCTGTCACACACTGACACTGACTCCTTTAAAAGCTGTGGCAGGTTTGTACAGGATCCTCCTCTGATGGGTGTGGGGCGTGTCGTGTGGGGAAAATGGTCACATGATAAAGAGTTTAATTTGTTATGTAAAGACTTATTATATAAACATTATCTTTGTGCAATTCAGTCCACAAGCAATAATCTCATAATTTTTGTAGAATCTAAAATCAAGTTTCACTATGACCTCATTGTAAATGTTTTAAAATGCAGTAATGTGTAAGAGTATATATTTAATTACTTTGTTTAATTTTGTCTTATGCAAGGTTAAAATGTTATTTTCTTATTTCTTGTTCTTTAACAAGCCAGTTACTCAGTTTCACACAATGAAATATTTTGTAAGTGTAAAAGTATTCAGATTTTTAAAATATCATATTGCAAGATTTATAACAGTTTATAAAAGCAATACAGCTGCTACAGTCTACCTAAAATGGGTCTCAGTCTGATATTTGTGTTCTTCTGCTGCCTGCATTTACTGTCACTCTGAGGACACCTTGTGGTTCCTGCTGGAACTGCAGTGATTGTTTGTAGTTTGATAATCTTTCTGTTTCTACAGACCACAGGCGGTTCTACACCCTTCAGCCTATTGTCACATTTCATACGAATTGGATCCCATATTTCCTTAAACTGAAAGTGGCAGCCCTGATCCATATAATCACTCCTGCTACAGACCACAGGAATTAATTTCTTTTTCTTATCATCTTAAAGCTTTTTTCCTGGCATTTAAATTAAACTGAGCGGCTCTGTACACATTATATCTGGATTTAAAAAGTCCTGATTTTTCTAAGATTTTGTAAAAGTATTAAAAATATCAGGTTTGCCTTGTCCTGTCCTGGCCGCTTCGGTGCAGCTTCATCAGAAGCGCTCAGACTCACACACCCTGTAAACTCATTACTTTACAAAGAAATGAAAGGAGAGAAATGTCAGGGAGCTTCAAAACTTTTGAGCCTCAGTCATCAAAACTATTGATAAATATCTCCTTTATTTGATAAATTATATTATACATCAACATCCATCCATCCATTCACTTTCTGTAGCCTCTTGTCCAATTCAGGGTAGCGGGGGGTCCAGAGCCTTACATCAGCATCATTACCAATATTATGGGGCAGATTACTGATTAATAGTATCTGCTGCTATGGAGGATTTGACATACACTATATGGACGTATTGAGACAGACCTATTAATCACTGAATTCAGGTGTTTTCTTCAGGCTCATTGCCACAGGTGTATAAAATCAAGCACCTAGTCATACAGTCAGGTTTACAAACATTTGTGAAGGAATGGGATGTTCTGAAGAGCTCAGTGAGTTCAAGCGTGATACTGTCACAGGATGCCACCTTTGCAATAGGTCAGTTAGTGAATTTCATACCTGCTAGATATTCCACAGTCAGCTGTATGTGGTATTATTGCAAAGTGGAAGTGTTTAGGAAGAAGAGAAATTCAACCACAAAGTGGCAGACGAC